GAAGAGTGAAAAATTGTCTGTCTAGTTGGCTTACATAACAGTTAAAGTTTACAGCCTAAAAAACATGGAGCATTTTTTCCCCTTTTATTAATTTTTAAGTCAATCTGCACATTTCATGGTGATGCTCAGCCTCTCCCCTAACTCCTAACAGTCATCATCATGTCAACCACAACACAGAGAAATACTGATAGAAATGTGTGTGTAGTTGTTGATACATTGCTGACCGAGGCAACTACATTTGAATACAGATTTAAGAAATATCAGTTTTTGAGCATGTAATAAGCATGTTTTGTCTTGACTATATTACAACTATATTATAATAAAATAATATAATATTTATATTATTGAATTGATTATGATTATTATTATTATTAGTAGTATTAGTAGTAGTAGAAGCAGTTTATTTGCATACTGAACATACTGATGCATACTGAACGACAAGCACATTTACCATTTACCTCACTGTATAACAAAGTAACTGTGTTGATAATAATAATAAACAGGAATTATATTTGCAAAGTACTTTGTTTCCAAAAAAATGTGTTCACTCACAATGTCGTTGTTGGCCAGGGACGGCCCTGGGTACATACCACTGCGGGAGACTCCTCTCCTGTTAAAGCAGGCTGTCACATGTTAAATAACCTCATCAGTTATTTTTGCAGCATAGAGTTGACTCCTCTATGACCCCAACGGGCTGAAGGTATGTCTTATCCGCAACATTAATCAGGTTTTGAATTTGAAGTAAAGGCTTGCCCACAATCTAATATGTTGGGAATTAAATTAAGTTTGCTCATGTCTGGACTGAATCTGCCACACACCGTGCCACACAAACACATTCATTGATACTGTGTAGGACGAGGATCATGTGATGCTTCCATCAAAGAGTGTCATTTGTTGCGTAGGGCAGAGATCTATGCTGAGGTAATCAGGCTAATCCTTTTAAAGGATTAAGGTTGTGCCTTTACTAGTAGTGGTATACCAGTTTGGGGCGAAATATTTGTAAAGACCTATATTAATAGAGGTCTATGTTTATGACTATTATTCATCTGTTTTCGTTTAGAATACAAAACAGGGTAAAAGTTATCTCAGTCCTCCTGTTAAATTACATAATTTGCACTTTTATAATATTAAGCGTGTGACAGCTTTATACCTTTGCAAAACACCTCAAAGCAAACTCTTAAGTGTCTACTTGTATGTGGTTTTATGTAAGTATTCTTATAATCTCTAACATATTGCCTGGAAAGAAGCTCTTGAGTTCTAATTACTCCAGATGCAAGAGCTTGAACTATGACACGCTAAGACATATTTCTCTCAGGATATACCTTTGGTTTCCACAGCCACGCATTTGGCACAGCAAGCATAGCCTCTAGCTGGTAAGACCTCATTTTCTTACAGTAGCGTGCCTAACATTTATCAAAACCTTTTGGATGCCTCCCTCAGGAACTTTTTGAGGAAAAAAAGATTTTCCAGAGGTGCCCAAAGATGTCAGCTAGACTGGGTGCTGCTGACCAAACCACATGCAAGAGTTGCAGCCAACTAGCCAAAACAACTTTGTGTGCTGCCACTGGCCCACAATGTTGACTTCACAGAGTTGTACATTACTGTATGTCTGGTCATCTTCCAACAGGATTACAGTTCAGTGAGTGCAACAAAAGCCACGAGAGTCCAAGCAAGGGTTGAGAGAAGATTCACTTCAAAACAAGATTACTCATCTGTAAACTCAGAATAAACAATAAACCATTAAGGTGAGTAGGCTTACTTGCGTCAATATCTTTGAAGAATATACATTTGCATTGGCCTCTTTTACCATGCATGTTCACTGAGTTATCTGGGTCGCTTTGTAAATCAAAATTCACAACAGTTTTTGCATTATCCAGGTTTTAGGTTCTTTGATGTTCAACGCAGTATTTATTTACCAAGTGAATTGCTTCTTGGAAGAGGCCAAAGAGCATGAATTGACTCATCTCTCCCCTCAAACAAATTTTACCTAATTGTTTACCCCTGAAATGAGCACATGATCCGCCCCCATTTCTGACATTTTGATTCCTCCTTTGTTTACACTGATCCCCTAATTAGACAACTTTTGTTATTTTCTGTTTGGACTCTTGGAAAGCCAGGCTATTACGCTCTAGTTCACCTACATAAAACACAATTTTACTGAGAGATGAAATGACACGGCAGTGGTGACCTTGTTTGTGGCGTGTTGGTTCCCCCGAGACCAAATTTGGACAACGGATGTGGGCGAGATGACACAACCACAAACGGTGCTCACTGGCTGTCATCCTAAATGTAAACCTATTTTAAATAACTTTGTTTAGATATTTTTAAGTTCCCTGTGAGTCATTATTTTCAATGATAAAGTGATGATGTAAATGTTATCCTATGACTAATTTACTCCTGATGAGATTCAACTTGGACGTATTTTAAAGAAACAAACATCTACTTGAGTGAAACTAGTTGATACAATGCAACCACTAAACACCAACACAGAACACTATCATGTTATTCTTTCAATAAATGGATAGTGAGTAAGAAGTTAAAAATAACGTGAGGAAGAATGCAGGAGATAATCAGGGTTAGAGAATGAGGAACACAGCTGTAACTGTCTCAGAGAATAAATTAAACATAAACATGCCACCCCCACACCACAGTCCACCTTTGGGCTGGTCCTTCCGCTGTTTGTCACGCTAGGCTTTACGAATTGTTTGAATGAATGAAATAGTTACATGGGTTAATGAAGGGATGAGGGAAGGATAAAGGGGAAGTTCCAAATCTCAAAATCAGTCTAAATAATGACACTTGACACATTTTACTTGAATGTGTGTTACGTAGTGTAGGTGAGAGGTCACTGCATTTGTTTGTCAATGTTTGAGACACTTGTCAGCATGATTCACACCTTAACTGCATGAGACACAGATTAAAGGGTGCCTGTGTCCATACTGCTGGGTTTCCCTATCATGACAAGTACTGACAACCACCAACATGATCAACTCAGATTAAGAAGTTTGGAGAGCGATGTTGCTATAGGTTACTGTACATCTCGGTATCCGGGCGTGACAGTTAAGTGTAATAAAAATAGTTCTTCTGCCTGGAGCAAACATTCGCTTTAACAGTTCATGTGTTCGTGCCATCAGTCTTTTGTTTGCTTAGAAGTGTTTATGAACCGATAAACCACTGAGGTATTTGTCAAAACTGGTCCAGACAGGGACTCCAGATATAAGTCACCAGAGACACAGTTATATGATATTACATATGTAATGTAGCTGTTCACATAAAAGAAAAACATATTTGATGAAATGTAAACATTCACTCTTCAAAAACCTCTTAAAAAAAATCTAAAATAATTCTCTGATTTAACATTTTTACATGTTTTTAAAAGAACAGCCTCCATTATGGTGTGTGTGATTATAAAATGTAAACTCTTCTTTGTGTAATTAAACATCCCAAGGACACGAGCTCTGTGTTCCAATGGCAACTACTGCCCGATTTCTAAAATCTTCATCATCAACAACATCACCATCTTGACCTTTTTGATTGCATTTTAGGGAATGCTCCGCGAATGTAAAATGGATTTAAGCATGTCATTTAATAACAATGCTCTGGTTTGTGAGAAGTTTGTCACTGTGTTTTGCTCGGGGCTGTTTTGTATTATAATATTTGGCACCTTGTTATTACTAACTGCAACCTGTTAGAGGTCAAACTTCTTGGTCATCCATGGACTTTCCAGAAGTGCACAAGTTCTCCAAAAGAAATATGCTGCATTACATCCTTATGTGACACACAGGCATGCACACATGCACATACTGATACTGGCCAATACAGGCCTGCACATAAAGAGCGTGGGTGCCATCTGGTGACCATATTTGACCAAGAGAGCATTCAACACAAAAGAGCAATAAACAGGACAAATAATCCTCCATTATATTCAATTGTTACTATTGACAACTATACAGTTGTGTAAGTTACAACACAACTTAAGAGAAGTACCTTTGCAAGGTATCTGAAAAAGGGCTATGCGAATTTCTATTGAGCTTAGGCTACAAAAATACAAATCCAATAATGCTCCAGTAGAGGATAGAGTGAGCGCAGATTTTGATAGAATACCAGCCTTACATGTTTTGGTTGAAAGAAAAACATCAGATCATATGCAGTTGAGATGATGACAAAAGCAACAGCATTACAGTGGAAAGAAGAGTTATAATAATTAAAAGGATTATTCTTTGAATGGATTTCTGTTCTGTATTGATGTAATCAAAATAATTTACATCTCGTAGTAGGATGGGTATTGTTAATGCAGGAAACTGTATAGATATAGAAATATTCATATGTTGAGAACATTTGTGTGGACAAACAAATGGATTAAGCTCACAAAAGGGATGGAGGACAATATAGTGGATGCATAAACTAACAGACTGTAAAGATTAGGAGATAATGGACATTAAACTAAGTAGGCCTAAATCTGAAGCAAAAGTAATAATCAAAATAAATGTCATTGGGAGTGGCCACACATTTGGTATACTGGAAACACAGGATGTTAATGTATTACAGTGAGAAGTTGGCCGAGTGATGAAAGCTAAAAGGTGCACTAAAGAAGAGAGCATCTTAATAGATGGTATTATGTACAGGCGATACATCAGTGGAGCATGTCATTTTTCCCTTCCAAAAGAAAGTATAGCGAAAAAAGAAAGATTAAAGGGAAAGAGCAATCAGGGAGCTTTGGCTCGAATAACTGAGTCTTAAAGTGTATCAACATTTGGTTGGAGTGTCTATTGCAATATTTGAAAGAATCTAAGCTCATCAAAATAATGTAATGTTAAGTGATATCTTATTTTGTTATTATTTATAAAGGGGATATATAATTGTGGTGCACACTCCAACACAGTAGGTGGCGTTAATGCCCACCGGCATAAAACCGAAAAGCAGGAAGAAGGAGAAGAAGGAGAAGTCAAACTGAACTCGCACTCAACTCGCACACTGCGGCTGCGCGTACTGTTGTTGTAGGAAAAATGGCGGCACTGCTGCTGCAGGAGTTGGAACCCTCTGAGATTTCAAAGCTACCAAAAACGGTTCAAAACAAGCTCGAGAAGGTTTTTTCGGATCAGCAGTATGAAATCGATTCTTTGAAAGCGCAACAAGAACAGTTTCGAGTTGACAGCGGTAAGGGTTTGCCTGGTGTTAGCTAGTGGTGCGAGTGTTCTGTAGTGTGCTCATCATGCACACATATCTTTACCTGGTCTGATGAAAGTTGAAGTTATTGGTTTGAACTTAGCCTACTAACACATTGACACCATGCCGTTTTTCAATGGCTTTGGGAATATATAAACAACGCTATGCAAATGCAATACGGCCAGTTATCAGTTACTACAATTAGATGCTAATGCTAGCGTTGGCTAACCTACTTAGCTAACGTCAACATTACATAGAACAGTACATAACGGTTTAACGTTTCGTGCTTTTGCTCCCTCATTACAGAGCAACACTTCTTCGAAAAAGTGAAACAACTTGCTCAGTGCCAAGAAAAATGTTTATCCACGACTCAAGAACATCTTAAACTCAAAGATGAGTTTGCCAAGCAAGGTAAGAGTGAACTTATGGCCAGTGGTGTACAGTAATGTAACTGAGCACATTTACTGCACTTAAGTAAGAAATTGAGGTTTTTACATTACTTGTGTATTTCCACATCATACTACTTTATACTTTTACTTATTTTGACTTTAGTTACTTGTTACTAAGCATATGTAGGGTTATTGGTACAAAAAATTACTTGACACACATTATATTATATTATTATAGGTTAAGCTACCCAGTAGTGTATAAAGTAAATAGTTTTAAAATATCTAGTTTGCAAAACGGGTACTTTTCCTTTTGGTATTTTAAATGCTAATATATCTTTCTACTTTTACTTGAGTTCAATTTTTAAAGCAATACTTTTACTTGAGTATTTGTACATCTGCAGTATTGCTGCTTTTCATAAAGTAAATCATTCTTATTGCAATACAGATTTAACTTGTCTTGTTTCTTTTGAATGACTTTATCATTTTTATTTTTTTTCAAACCTCCACTTTTAGTGGAAGATGTTAAAAGCTTGCGTGAGAAGAACAGGGAATATGAATCTTCGCAAGAGAAGCTGTCATCAGAGCAGGTAAGCCAAACAAACACAGCCATGCTTTTCTCACATACCTGGTTGGTTATATGTTTCTTAACTTTTTACTTTTATTTCTCTCATAAACTCAAACTACAACAAATGTCGTGATACTTGCTTGTTAGAATTAGTTTTGTGGTAAAGTCATTGTTTGTCTACACTTTTAGTTTTCTCATTCAATGTCACCAAAACTCCAGATATACATTTTAAGTGACACACAGTGGTTGAAAAATGCTTCTTGCTTCTTAGACTTTGCTGTCAAAAGCCAAAGAGGAATTGGAGGCAGAAAAGCGAGAGCTTTTGAGGACACTGGAGAAGAGGTCCTTACAAGTGGAGCATTTAAATGGTATGGTTTGACAGATGAATTAGTCTAGAGACACTTGTCAAAACTTTCATTTATGTCCGTATTCCGTAAATACTAACCTTCACTTTAACATTGTACCAAATGTGCCCATCAGATGACTTCAGGCATCTCAATGATAAGTTGGCTGAGGTCAACACCTCCAAGATGGCGCTGCAGATGAAGTTTGATGAACTTGAATCGGCTGAAGTCAACATCAAAGTAAGTTATTTTCTTTGTGTAAATAATATCTTCACATCAAATTTGTCTGAAGAAGTGGCTTTTTGAACATCTATTAGTTTAAACAAAACCTATAAGTGAAAAATGTTGTTGTGTTTTGTCATGACAGTACAAGGAGAAGCGTATGGAACAAGAGAAGGTGCTGCTGAATGGCCAAACATCTTGGCTGAATGGGGAATTGAAGGCTAAGAGTGAGGAACTGCTGTCCCTATCCCGACAGAAGGGAAACGACATCCTGGAGCTGAAGTGCAACCTGGAGAACAAGGAAGATGAGGCATGTCTCTTTCTATTTACATGAAATGTTTATAAAGCTGAATGACATGAAGACAACAAATACGATGATAAAGTTGGCTTGAGAGTTTGCCATTTGTTCCAAATCACAACATTACACATAGATCTGGGTGGGATTTACCAACTATTGACCAATCACCTACATTAAAATATATGTAACAAAGTTGTTATAGCTGCATCCCTAACGCTACTGCCCCTGTGTTAATTTAAGCATTTTAACTCTTATGGTCATTACTAAATACATTGTCTTGCTTGTGGCTTTCAGTTGAATAGACTCAAAGACCAAGTGGCCAGTTTGAAGTCTTCAAATGAACAACTTCAGAAACAGAACGAGGACATGGTCAGCAAACTAAGAGAAGTATGTGTATGGTATTTCCTACAGCCTAGATTTCATCCTGTCTTATATTTACAGAGAAACAGGAATTTCTTTTTTGTCATTCTGTATGTTCTGCGACAAACTGACAAGTATTGTTGTGCTCTTTAATCATGTTTAATTGTTTGACTGGATCTTTGCTTTTTCTAGGTCAAGGAACAACAAGCCACCATGGAGGAAAAGTACAGAAATGAGCTGAATGCCAACATTAAGCTTTCCAATCTATACAAGGTATGTATACGCATGAGAGCAAGCTGATCTGGCTTGGGCTTTTGTAACACCAAGGCCTTTACTATCAGTGATTAAGTTCAATTAACGTCCATGTAGTGTCACTATTTCTAATTTCCAGATTAATTCAGCACACATCATGTCTTATTGCTGATTTGTTTGTACAAAACATTGCTTATTTTTTCACATGAAACAAAGTGCTTTAAACAAAAAAGGTTGCATATTTCTTTCACCTGTGGTTATATTAGCAGGCTTTATATTAACCATGAACAATATGGTTTACACTTTAGTATTATTTTTGCCAACTCTTACCCTCTTGTTGTGGTGACAGGGAGCAGCAGCGGATTCTGAGGCAAAAAGTGACGAGCTGACTCTGGCAGTGGAGGAACTGCATAAACTCCTGAAGGATGCTGGAGAAGGTGCAAAGCTTTAAAATAATTATCACATTATTTAGGATTTGCCTTCTACTGAGATGGAGAGAGTTTACATTTGTTGTTAAGCTTAATGGTTTATCTTTTAATTTAACTTCCAGTTGGTATTCCCTGACATTTACTCACTGTTCACTTTCTGCCACAGCCAACCAGGCTCTTGAGGAGAAGTTGCAGGATATGAATGGTGCCACAGACAAGAGTGTTGCTGAGCTAAATGAGAGGATCCAGGTTCTCGAGAAAGAGCTGGACAATACCAACGAGCTGCTATCAAGTTCCACACTTAGAGGTTTGTTGGGTTGATTGCTGTACTTGGTTGAATTTTAAAATAAGCAAAAATCACTCCTTGTAGGGGATTTCTTTAAATGACCTGTGATCTCTCCTCTACTTTTTGATTGCCCAGGTCCTATTAGTTCAGCATCTGTGATATCAGAAGAACAGCTGACAACAATGTCTCCAACAGCAGCTGCTGTGTCCAAAATCAAGCCTGGCATGAGGCTGACAGAGGTATGTGATACTAAATTCAAATACCACCTTATTTTATTAACATTAGAATTTGGAAATAAGTCTGGGAATCATTTAGGTACAATAAACTACCACAATAGATTTCAAATACTAATGCATGTTGATCATTCTATAGATTATTTTCACGATGAAAGCGTTGAGCTTATTTGTATTTACTGGTCATTTTTACTTACTTCGATGGCATCTGCATTTTCAGTTGTATACAGCATATTTGGAGAGCCAGGAGCATCTGCAGCTGGAGCGATTGGAGAACAAACGGGTCAACAAGTACCTGGATGACATTGTGCAGGAAGTGGAAGCCAAAGCCCCTATCCTCAAACGGCAGAGGGATGAACATGAGCGCATGCAAAAGTCGGTGACAAGCCTTTCTGCTAAGCTGGAGCACGCTGTTATGGTGAGTAAATGATACACTGTGACTGCCTCACATTATACCTTCTGCCCATAACACGATATCTTTTTTTTTTTTTTTACAGGAAGTTCACCGTCTGCAGAAGGAAGCTGATGAAGCTAACAAACGCTCGTCTGTTCTGGAAAGGGACAACCAGAGATCTGAACTGCAGCTAGGAGACATGGCTAAGCAAGTGGGTTCTCACTCTCTTCTCCCACTTATTTTGCATGCATTTTATAATATCATATTTCTCCAATACCTTATTGTCTTGCCTGTCTTGATCTTTTCTTCTAGGTGCGTGTGCTGCTCATCGAGCTGGAAGAGGCTCGTGGAAACTATGTGCCTCATGAGGACGATGGGAGCTCAGCTGATGTCAGCAGCACATCAGAAGTGATCAGCCAACACTTGGTGACCTTCCGTGGTGTGGAGGAGCTGCAGAAGCAAAACCAGCGTCTTCTGGTGGCCCTCAGGGAGCTCAGTGAGGCCCAGGAGAAAGAGGAGATTGAGACCTCTGGAAGCAAGTACGTAACACTGTGCTGATTTATTTTTCTTTCTTGCAATCAACTCACAGAAGTGAGGGTTAGGTAACTGATTTTTTTTGGTAATGTCTTGCTACTGATCAAATTTGGGGAAAAGGAATGCTTAAGAACAAGAGTGCTTAGGACTGGGCTAAGGCTAAGAAAGATGATCTGTTACAGGCGTGGTGAACTGGAGCAGAGTTTGGGTAAAGCCCAGGTAGAGCTGGAGTCTCTGAGGGAGCAACGCGGCCAACAGATAAAGATGACTGAGTCCATCGTGAGGCAGAGGGACATGTACCGTGTGCTGCTGGCTCAGGCAACAGGATTCAGCTTCCCTCAGCAAGGTCAGAGATACACCAAGTGATATACTTGACATACTTGACGATACATCCTGTACATAGCAATTTACTGTTACAATGTTGGTTCAAGGCAAATAAAAGTAGCATTTTTGGTCTGATGGCAAAGGCTGATAAAGATGTTTTTCTATTTTGCTGAACTTCTGAGTGTTTTCCTAAAGGTACACCACCTGAGGATTTCTTCCTGACCTCCACCCCCGGACGCTCACCGGCAGCCATTCCCACCTCAGGAACACCCACTGCCCTTGTCTCCATGACAACAGATTCTACTGAAGCCTTAGAAGCCAAGGCAGCTTTGCGACAGGTGAGCAAACGCATCCCTATTTTTAATAATTGCAACAGTCTTTACAGCTAGCTTCTGCTGTATCTTTATCATTGGACATAGCAAAGCTATTTGTGGATCAGCATTTATGGACATTGTCACCTACTGCAAGCACCCACTGCACGTGTTGCACTGACGCTAAGAAAGCAAATCATCAGATCATGTAATTCAGTGGATTAGCAGTGTTATAAATCCACAGTTGCAGACCCCGATTTCCTTTTACTGATGCACTTTGCCTTTGCTAGCAGTCCTATATGAATAGGTTAGAGTCCGGTGTAACGTGCGTTTTTCCCCAATGAATATTTATTCAACTACTAGACTCTGCTGACTTAAAGTAAAGGTGTCTGGTTGGCTCTGTAGTTGCAGGAGGTGTTCTCCACCTATAAGAAGGAGCGCATGGAGAGTGACAAGTTAGTGACTGGGCAGGGCGAGAAGCTCCAGGAGCAGCTCTCAGACCTCCACTCCCAGAATGCCAAGATATCCACTCAGCTGGAGTTTGCCTCCAAGCGGTAAGTTAGTTTGAACAAAAAAAAATCTATTTTACTCAACAATAATTTTGTATAAATAATGCAAAAGACAGCACTAAAAACAATGTATTTCTCAATATATCAGGTATGAGATGCTGCAGGACAATGTTGAGCGCTACAGGAAAGAGATTGCTTCCCTCAGAGAGAAAGAACAGAAGACGGCTGCTGCCGCACAGAAGCACGAGCAGACCATACACTCTTTGAATGAGGATTTGAGAGCTGCCAAAGAGAAACTATCCATGGCTGAGGTTTGTCTTTTTTCCAGCAACCTTTTATGTGTTCAACATTATTGGGGGAATTATAAAACCATCGAGAATTCTCTGCCTCTAATTCCAGGGCCATGCTCAGAGCATGCGTAAGGAGAGAGACATGCTGAAGCTGGTGGAGTCCAGGCTGAATCAGGAGAAGGAGTCACTGCAGAGCCAACAACAGAGCCAGAACATGCTGATGACCAACCTCCATGCCATACAGGTATTATAGAAGTATGAAATGTCACGTGTTGTCTCAAACACACACAAACAGTCCAAAATGTAAAGTTCTTTGTGCTTCCAGGCCACTCTTGAGCGTTCAGAGACTGATACACGTCAGCGTTTGAGTGACCAGTTGGAGAAGCAGGAACGAGAGATCTCCCAGCTGCAGAAGAGGCTGGAGAACGAGGTGGAACAGCGCCACCTGCTCAGCAGAAACCAGGAGGTAAGGATTCCATTGAAAGGCTGTGTTCTGCTGAAATACGAACTAACAATGTCTGCCATAGTCATTTAGACGTTACTGTGTTTAAGGAACCACTTGCAGCCTGTTTTAATCTTGAACACACACCCTTTACAAATAAAAAAACAACAACTGTCAAACCAGATCCAAATGGCAAAATGAAATAGTTCACTTACCTCTCCATGTCGCTCGTCCCACATGCACAGATCCATCTGATGGACGCAAAGAGGCAGCTGGAGATACAGGCTCCGTTACACCAGAAGACCAAAGAGCTGCTGAACGCTGCAGAGTTTGAGCTCAAAACCCTCAGAATGCAACTCGGCAGCAGCGAAGCACGTCACTCCCTGAGCTCCCCATCCACGCCTGTTCTCAGAGGTCGGCACAAACACACACATACAGGAATATTTGTGCAACACAACAGCCCAATACACAGGGGAATCAATACGGTTGTAATAACATCCCATGACCAGTAAGATTTAAGCCAAATGTCAACATCATTGGAAGCCTAATTGTTAATGGCTTCGCATTAAGTCACTTTTTGTGTAATTACTGTACTCTACAATCATCTTTTACATGTTAGTTTTTGTATTTAAAGGCACTGTTGATTGTTGAAGGGAAATTACTAAGTTTTAAACTTGACCTCCTTTTTTGAATGCAAGGATGGTATGGTCTCACTATTGTTTAGATGGGATCCAGTACACGAATAAAAGAGACACATTTTTAGTCATTATAAAACATCTGAGCCACACTTTTGTTGTTGTTGCTGTTAGTGTGTTTAAGGCACAAACCCCCTAGTATTGTGCTGTTTCTCGTGATGCTGCGGTCAAACACGTCTGTCTCTGATCCTTCCTGACTTCAGGCTTACCAGGTTCAGATCAAGACCGAGAGGAGCTACAGGGTCGCCTGCGGCTGGCTGAAACCCAAGCAGAGGAGCTGGCAGTGAGCCTCAGGGCCGCCACCTCCAGCATGGAGCAGTACAGAGCCATGGCTCAGAGCATGGAGGAATCCCTGGACAAAGAGAAAAAGGTACTCAATAAACAGAGAGCCTGTCAGTGTTCCATATCTCCTCACCATTGACCACACCCACAGCAAAAACACTTTAAATTATTTAAATATAACGTATGCATAAATATTTGTGATGGGAATCAAATCTATAGGTAATGCTCTGGCACAAATATAAAAATAATTTATATATAAAGACAACATTTTTGCACACTGTACGCACTCAGTTAGTTTAAAAATGTGTTGACAAGCAGATATTCATGTATCTTTGATCAAAAGATGATTGCTGGCTTTATAACATTTAAAATGTGTGCATGCCTAATGACCAGGTGACAGAGCAGGCACGCTCGTCCATCGAAACCCGTTTGAAGGAGGCTGAGAAGCAGCACCAAAAGCTGGAGGAGAAACTTCTGGAGGCGGAGAAAGAGAAGCACAATTCAGAGGAGCAGAAGAGAAGAGCCCTGGCCTCTCTGGAGGAACAGGTATATACACAATCTCATTGCATTAGCACATTTGACACAAACTAAGTCTCAATGCTACAGATTTACAAAAACATCTGTTCACATCAGTTCTTCCGTCACTACGTTTGATCCTCCTGGCACTTTTGGTGATCAGTTATATTCACATTATGCAAAGAACACCGTTCATTCTCAGTTTTTTTTTGTGTCTGTTAGATGGAGAATCTCAGGAGGAGTCTCAGCAGTGCCCAGGCTGAGCACCAGGCGGTGCTGCAGCGCGTGGCTGTAGCCGAAGCTCAGCAGCAACAAGCTCTGCAAGACAGCCTGGAGCAGGTAAGAAGCCATTAGAAGATGAACAGGAAGGAATATGAGACTTTCTTTTCTCAAATATGTTTAGAAACCGTCTTAAATCAACCACATCTTCTCATGCCTACATTTTACCCTTACATTTTACATAAGAAGATTTCATAAACTTTGTACAACTATCATTTAAAAGCAGGAATTCTTTACATCATGTTGTATTCCCTCAAACCTTTAAATCTGTATTGGTCTTATTTTTCTGCGTCTGTTAGTGAAGAGCCTTTTTGGTTCGGCACGTTGCAGCACCACCTGTTGAGTTTTGAAGAGATTTTAGCTTTTTCCACCTGATAGTGCATCTACATTTTCTATTGTACAGCAACTGCAACAAGATGATATAACATGCAATGATGAACTCAAATCCTCTTCCCCATTACCAAGGCTAAGCTGGCAGCCGAAGCCCAAGGTAAGTATGAGCAGGAGATGTTGCTGCATGCGGCCGACGTGGAGGCTCTGCGGGTCGCTAAGGCTCAAGCCCTGCAGGCCGTGGAGCTCCGCCTGCAGCTGGACGAGAGATCCCAGAGGGTTGGTGCTGAGCTGCTGGAGGCCAGGGTCTCCTGGGAGGAGCAGGAAAAGATCATCAAGGTGACGACCAGACCGGATAAGACTAGATCAAAGGGACATCTATTGCATAGTCTCCAATTATTTTTAATTTAATAAGCCCACCTAAAACATGTATCATAGTTTTAGGGGCCATGCTTTTTGCTCCACCACATATTAGTATTAGAAATTGGCCGTTACATTTTCATTCCTCATTTCTTTGCGCTTATTACAGGAGGAGATGGCGAAGATGGAGAGCCGTCACGATGAGTTGCAGAAGCAGAACACTCTCCTGCATGAGCAGATCCAGACCATGAGCAGGAAGATGGCCGACACTCTGCAACGTGCTATCAATGAGAGTCCCATGAACATCTCCCTGACTGAGGAGGGCAAATCTCAAGACCAAGTCCTCGAGATTCTCAGGTAACGCACCTCGCCAATCTGTGTTTTGATTTTTAGAATCAACATAAAAAATAAATAAAGCATAGAGTTCGGACATTGCTGTTATGCCATGCAAAGGCTATTATTCTGATGTTGTTCTTCACTTTTTTTCTCAATTTGTGCTCTCTCCCAGGTTTGTGCGTCGGGAGAAGGAGATTGCAGAGTCTCGTTTTGAGGTGGCCCAAGGGGAGACCTTGCGTCACCGCCTGAGGGTGGAGCACCTGGAACGAGAGCTGAAGGAGATGCAGGACAGCTTGAGTGCCGCAAAGGAGAGGATGCAGGTCTGTTTGTGATCTCACTGACACTCCTTTCCCCTAAAATATCTTGTTTTACTTTTCTTTGCCAGACAATTCGTGTTTTTAATTGCAAGAATGAGAATATCTCTTTTAGGACATTTTATTGGTCTGTTTTCTTTAAAATACACGAGACCTGTGTCTAACCTGGCCACTCAAATGTGAGATAGAAATACAACCTGTATCTGAAACCCAACTCTAATCTTACTCAGGTCACAGCGAAGACCCTGGCGCAGCACGATGAGCTGATGAAGAAAACTGAAACTATGAGCATCCTGATGGAGACCAACAAGATGCTGAGAGAGGAGAAGAACAGGATGGAGCTGGAACTTCAACAAACCCAAGCAAAAGTATTGTTTACATTTTGTATATTATAGTCATTCCTTTTATTATACTCCGCTTTATTCAGTTATGAGGGAGGATATAATCATGGTTTTACAAACTTTTGAACACCTGAGTGAAACTCCAACTGTTTCAACTGATCTCTCTGTGTTTCAGTTACAAAAGCTGCAGTCAGACATCATGCCACTGCAGCAGGCCAACTCTGAGCTGAGCGAGAAGAGTGGCATGCTGCAGGCGGAGAAAAAGATACTGGAAGAGGACATCAAGCGCTGGAAAGCTCGGACCCAGGTCAGTGAAAAGAGAAGAAGGAGAAAGACTGTAAATGATGCTTGTAAGAAGGGGAGAAATATATCCTTCTTTGGAGAGTAGATTCTCTTCTAATTACTGTCTTGTCAATCGTTCTCTTAGCATTTGGTGAGCCAGCAAAAGGATTCGGATCCAGAAGAGTACAAGCGTCTGCACTCGGAGAAGGAGGTACATCTGAAACGCATTCAGCAGCTCACTGAGGAGAGTACCCGACTCAAAGTAGAGGTTGCCAGGTAAGACACTGTATCACGATGCAGCTATTGAACTAAGTGTTTACCTTGTCCAAATGATTCAACTCTACCAGTCATTTTTTTTGCCACTTAACAATTTGTTGTTGCAATTTCTCTTTTATAGGACGAATACTCTCACAGTGTCTCTGCAAAGCCAGATACAGAATTTGCGTGACAATATGATTAAAATAAATGAAGAGAGGAATACACTGAAGAAAGAAGTGGAGGCCAAGAAACAGGAACTCCTGGAGAAAGTGCGAACTATCACTCAGGTCAAGAAAATTGGACGTCGCTACAAGACTCAGTATGATGAACTCAAGGTGGAACATGACAAGGTGAGCACTCGGTATTTCTTAATCTCACTGCCTCTATCTGTAATCCAGAGGTTTAAGCAAAAAGGACCTGGTTGTAACGTTTGTTTCAACCCATTTTTTATCTAAAACACACCCATATGTGAGCATTCTAATTTATCTTTCATACTGTGTTTTCTCTAGTTGGTGGCTGAGGCGGCAGCAGGCCCATCCCAAGAAGAGGAGGCTCGTCAGGCCTCGGTTCAGGAGCTGCAGAGCCTCAGAGACTCTCTGAGCCAGGCTGAAGCAAAGACCAAAGAGCTAGAGGGGCAGCTGGAGAACATCAACAAGGTTAACCCAGAAGTTTCAGCCTATCTTTTTAAAGAACTGTCCATTCTGAAGTTTAAAGACTAAAGAAGACAACTGTCAGAGTTGGAGGCCATGCTTATCATTCACTGTTATCAGTTTGTTAACTGACTGCTTATAGCTGGTATATTTAACATAATTAACAAAGTACTTGGGATCGAACAAAAATCATTTGTCAAATTGAATTATTGTCCAAGTTGCTATTTTTCTGTTTAAGTAAAAAAAAAGTGCAGTGCTTTAAAAGTCTTCTGCAGCTTTAAACATCTGCTCAAACTAATCTTGATTACTTTTTGTGTTGGAGTTTTTGGTCTCTTTTTCAATTTTACTGCAAATGTAAATTCTTTTCGGCCTTCTTGATATCTTTTTGGTATCGGCTCTGTAAAACAACATTTTGGCCGTAGACACCCCCGATACGCTTGTCTTTTCAGCATGCACACATTACATTAGTATCTTGTCTTTCTGTCCGGCCTCAGGTGGTTACGGAGCGTGAGACTGAAGGGCGAAACGCCCAGGACCAGGCCTCCAGGCTGCAGGCAGAGCTGACCAGGCTGAGGCAGGAGCTGCAGGATAAATCCACTCAGGAGGAAACGCTGAGGCAGCAGATGACTGAGAAGGAGGACAAGACCAGGAAGGCCATCGTTTATGCCAAGCAGAAGATCAACCATCTCACAAGTGAGAGGGTGTTCCTCTTATTACAACCATGAAAATGTCCTTATTTTATAGATTCCTCTTTATATTTGCCACTATTCTAGTGTTGCTTGTTTAGTTACTTTGAATCTAAGACCCAAATGATTTACGTCCAGACTCCAAAGACCAGCTTCAGAAGGAAAATGAAGAACTGAAGCAACAGCGTGAGGAGCTGGAGGTGCGAGTGAGCGCTCTCAAGTCTCAATACGAGGGCCGTCTGAGTCGACAGGAGAGAGAGCTGAGAGACCTGCGAGGCCAACAGGAGAGACAGGAGCAGAGAGACGAGCCGGCCGAGGCGGGGCCCAGCAAGGTACGCTCTCACTATTTCTTTTGATTTAACCGGAAGTACTAAAACAGCACAGCAGATACTGTTGAGCCAATCTGGCTGTTGGATAAATGTTTTACTCCCTAATGTTTGGGGAAACATTCAGTCATGATTCAATGCAGGTTCCTACAAACAAACATATGTTACTTATAAAAGCATTTCTCTTAACAAATGCAGGCCAATGCTAAAAACAGGTTGTCAAGAATAGAAGTGGAACCAGCAGTGTCTTTTTTATTTTTTACCAGGGCAGCATATCAAGCGACATTGTTGCACATTTTGTGAAAATACTGTATTGTACATCTGCTCCTTGTTGGTTTCCATCATTACTTTTGCCCTTCTGTTCTGATTATTTAGACCCAGGAACAGCAGAGGAGCACAGAACAGAGACAGATCAGTCTGAAGACCACCCCAGCGGCAGACAGGGGCAGGTAAGATATGACCATTTCAAACCGATAATTGATGATACGTTTCCCCTGCAATGCAACATGAGTGTAGAAATTAACACAGTTGGAGTTCTGGGATGCTCTGAAGTGCACCTGCTTTTAATTGTTATTTTTAAATGTAAATGCATACATTAGTAAAGTCATAATTGATATCCTTATCTTTGCGTCTGTCAGTGCCAGCACATCCGAGCCTCCAACAGCCAACATTAAGCCCACACCTGTGGCGACAGGCAGCAAGCAGCCTGTCAATCCTGGGAACAAACCCACTCCGAGAGCTAGCATCCGGCCCATGATTACCCCAGCCACTGTGCCCACGCCAACACCCACGGCTACTGTCATGCCAACCACACAGGTGGAGAATCAGGAAGGTAAGACATAAGCTTCCAATGTTGGAATATAACCAAAGTAACATTGCCCATAAAGACAAGCATCAACAATTGTAAATGTATAACTTAACAAAGGACTTTTCCCTGCGAGTTTGTTTCGTCCGATTTGAAAAGTAAATTATGTTTCCCACTAATGTAATTCCTCTACAGCCATGCAGAGTAGCGAGGGCCCCCCGGTGGAGCATGTGACGGTGTACGGCAGCGCCAGCGGCTCGGTGCGCTCCTCCAGCCCCAACGTTCAGACCACCTTAGCGAGCCCCATGTTGAATGTGCAGCAGACCCAGACGCAGGCCACAGCCTTTGTCCAACCAACTCAACAACAAAGCGTGAGCCATGCAGAGCCAGCCAATCAGGAGCCACCACCCGTGGTCATCGAGGCAACACCTAGCTCGCAGGTTGAATGGCCTTCAACGTCCTCTAGCTCCTCTGTGTTTGGGACTGGTGAGAAACCGTACTTTCTTTTAAATTGTGCTGATTGTAGCTTGATTTGGAATAGTATTTATAATTTGATGTATTTCATGTAGATAGTAGGATGGGAAAAAACACATTTTGATGAGAAACAAAAGAGAGACAAGAGTTCAATGTGGTGTTGATTAAGTTTATGAAAATGCACTTTTTTGGAACTGTCTTACAATATTGGAAACTAATTCTATTTTTCATAATTGCTACAGATAACAGAATAAAATAGATTGCAGGCCCACATTTCTGTACAGCAATCCAGTCTGAGCCACACCGAGTTAACGGTTTAACATTTTTTTTTACTGCTTTTGAAAAGAAAAAAAGTTGTATTCTCAGTGGAGATAAATCTAAACAAAATTCATGCCTTATCTCTAGTTTCAGCAACGCCAGGAAGCTCCATGTCAAAGAGGCCTCGGGAGGAGGAGGAAAGCACCACCATGCTCACTGACACGGACTCCACCCAGGAGGATACCTCCCGGGCTCCCATACCTAAGAAGCTACGCATCATCCAGATAGTGGGTCCAGAGGTGAGAAGGGGGGGTCAAATATAGAGATCTTAATGCATGTTTTCTTTGTTTTTATTCATCTGAAAACTAGCACAGTGATGTCATGGCCCTCATGAAGTGTTCCCCACAGGAGGAGGTGCTGGCCGGGGACAGTGCTGAGGCTGAGGTGCCAACAGACAGTCAAGATGGTGCCGAAGCAAGCCAGGTAGGCGTAGTAACACATCCCAAAGACATCCTTAATAATATCTCATAGTAATAATGTTGTTAGTATGTCATAATGTTATTTTAACATTGTTTCTGGTGGACGGAGCATCTTCTCTCAGTTGGAAACATTTGTCTTTTCCGTATGTGTTTAACACTTCCTGCCATTGGAGTGGTTAGGCTGCAGCATATTTATTATTTTTAGCTCTAGTCTTACAATGAAATCGTATCTCTCTGGGAAACCATGAGAGAATGAAATGCAGTGTAACGTGCAGGAGTAGTTCAAGCTGAATGAAATGATGATTAATACATGTTGATATTTAATGTATAATTTTTTTATGCAAGAGTTGTTTTTTTAACGTACAGTTTTAAATGAGTGGAATGCATGTTGTTCATAGTGTTCATAGTGTTCATTGTTCCGCCCTGCAGACGGAGGAGTTTCAAGAACTGGACGAGGGAGATGAGGGTGCTGGCTCCCAATCTGTCATGATGGAGCAAGAGGTCACCCTGTCCCAAAGTGGCACCCCTGAACCGCTGCTGCACGAAGTAATCGTCATAGTAACAGACACAGAAAGTGAGGAAGAACAGGAAGATGAGGATGAAGAGGAAGAAGAGCAGGTAGGGAGTTTCTGTTGAGCATTTTGAAATACAGTATGCGTAGTGACATTAGACTGCAATCAGAATTTTAAAAGGACTCTGTTTCATGCCACTAATGAATGCACCCAACTAATTGCAGGATTACGAAGAGGAGGAAGAAGAGGAGGAGGAAGATGAAGACGACGAGGAGGAAGACGAGGAGGAGGAAGACGACGGAGAGATGGTGGAGGAAGGAGAGGACAGTAACGAGGGCAGCGGAGACGGCAACGAGGCCTACGAAGGAGACGACACAGAGGTCTGATTAGCCGTGACACATGCTAACTCACAGCAACAGCTCTGACCTTTCACACACTCACTCCCACACACACTCTCACATCCAGTACACCGTGTTAACCCCCTTCTCACACTTTCAGTCAAACCTTTACGTACCTTTTCCAGCTCTCATACTCAGTTTTTCCACACTGTCATTTCACGGTCACTTCATTATGCCGCTGTTTCGTAACTCTGTCCGTGTTAAAACTGTGCGTGTGTGTTGACTTTAGTTGTTTAGCCTTTTACTCTTGTCTTGGTTGTGCATGTTCAGTGGGATGAGACAGTGTCAGCAAAGGGACAGCTAACAGTCTTTAACTTTTAAATCTAGATGAGTGGCTGTGTGGAGGTTTGGATGCTGAACAATTCAATTCCCATTTCGAGCATTAACAATGACGCATAAGGCTATGATCGGCGATGGGCCTGCCAAATATGTATTTGTGCAGTTTGTTATTCCAGTATTACCCATACTTTGGGGAACTGCCACAGTTTTACAACGAACAAAACATATATTTTACACTTCTCAGCATGTGGACTCGTTAGCCCTTGCTGGCGAATTTCGATTGTATTGATCCAACGTACCTGTCTCGTTAACAATGCTTTGTAGGACTGCCTTTTTTAAATTGTGAATCAAAGTTTGCCTGTTGCCTGGCTTAGGTTTGTAACATTTTAAATAAATGTATATGGAAGAGTATGAGTGTTTTTTACTGGTAATTTTTGGCCCTTTCTGAAGGGCATCTTTGTTCCATACAGGGACAAAATGAATCATCTGTATGTGGTGTGTTGCCAGCATAGTGTGTGAAAACCATCCCATAACCTGCTTCCTCTAATTTGTTCTTTTTTACACATCTTCATGTCCTTCCTACTTTTTTTATTTATTATAGTTAAACTTTTAAAACTGTTTTTGTGGTTCTCCTTTTCACTGACCACCGTTTCTCTTAATGTTTTCCTTTTGATCTCTCCTCTCACAGGGAGCTGATGTAACGGACCCGGGCACGGAGACGGAGGAAAGTTTGGGGGCGTCTGACTCCACCCAGAGGCCGGCAGATTCCCAGACAGCCAGCTGTAAGATCCAGGAAACCCTTTCAAACGCACATCAACCTCAGACTCACTGCATGCTCTCACAAACTGTCCCGCCATTCAATTAGTTATCTGACACTTGACGATGACTATGAAAGATGTAATCTGTTGTTGTCTGTCTGAAGGGAAGAGTGCTTCATGTGTTGGCAAATAAATTCAACTAATACTCTACTGAAATACAATAGACCAATAAGGGGCCCAAAGTCACTGTAGTACAACTTTTAAGATTGATTCAGTAAGGGAACCAGCAAGATTAAAGGTAGGGTAGGTAAGAATGGAGACACCAGCTCGATTGCGCTAGAATTTGAAAGAAATCTGCCCCTTCCTTCAGACTTCCTTACAGAGCCCCCCCTCCAACACACACGAATGCGCACATGACCAATGAGGGGCACGAGATAAGTTTGTGCACAGATGGAAGGCTGACAGGCAGGTAGGCCATCCAGTTATTTTAGCCAGGCCGGCTAAAATGACTGGTCGTGCTTTTTACAGCACCACGGCTTCCATAGATTAAATTTGTTTATGTATTTATTGTCAAAGCATTTCATGTATTCATTACTATCGGGATGTTAAGACCATTCCATGGAATATAAGAAAGTGTTTCTGAAGTGAATTACCTATCCTACCTTTTTAAGTGTTTTTTTTATTTTAACTATTTCATAAATCCACTCCTTTAACTGATATACCAATATAACTGACCACTTTTTTGTTGAGCATTCATAATCCCCTCAAATCATATTGACGTTCCCTTATACAGCTTTAGATTGAAAAGTAAAGTAAACACTTTTTTTTTTACAAGATTTGTCTTTTCCAACTCTGAATCTTAGTGCCTATAATTGAACAATAAATGCAATGGTTGGGTTTTCTGAAGGAGGCTTGTTCTGAATTCTTACAGCACTGATCAAATGTATTTTTGTTTCAAACAAAATGGACATTTTTGTTGTTTTAGTTGAGGGCAATGCAATGGAGGCCTTCTCTACTGATCAAACTATCACAAGCTCTGGTTCTCGGATGCCCCAATCTCCACGCAGACCAACACATCAGCTGCCCTCTCGAATGAGCATCGCCCTGACATCAGACCTGGGACCACATGCCCAGGTAAGAAGGACTAATCTTTCCTAATAAATAAATAGAACTTTCCTCGTAGGGAAAAGAAGAAAACTAAATTTAAATGGAAAACATTGTTACTAAGATATTTAAGTTACTCTTTCAAAAGTTAGTTTTCACAGTATTTATCTTGGGTCATCTCTGTGTAAATCAAAAACAAAGCTCTGTTAATCACGTGTAAAATGTAACTTCACAGCGTAACCCTGCCCGTCGTCAGTCAGTGGGAAGAGTTCCTCAGCTCGCCCCCGGGGTGCAGGGCACTTCTGTAAGTCCTCTAAAGCATCAGAGAATGTACATCCATTACATTGTTCAGGCAACCTTCACTCGGTTCAGTGCGTGTTTGTATCTAACGCTTTCTTCCTTCTCTCCCGTTGCAGCAGCATTTCTTTGTTGATGATGACAGTATAGTGCCCTGCACCCCCACTCTGGTGGTGCCGCACCGCTCAGAAGGACTTGACAAGTAAGTCTCACACACATAGACAGAGACAAGCACGTCACAACACTCAGGAAAAACGGCTGTAATATTTTTTATTGGTTACAAAACCATTGCTACTTGATCAGATATTATAATTGCAGGGTAATTAGATACTGCATAAATAATGTTGTTGTTGGTTGCCTCTTACACTGTTTCTATTTAAATATGTACTGCTTTAGTTTATAATTTGAGCTATAACTAAAACCTAACATTTTTTATTTATTTTTGTCAGTTCTTCCCAAGTGGCTGGTGTGCCTCGCTTCAGGTTTGGTTTTTCAGACGACAGCCCTCAGACCAGCTCGTCACACTCTGACCTGGCACATCTCGCATCACAAGGAGGTACAGCACCACCACATGCAGAGATACAGATTGTGTACAACAGCATTTAACACCCCAAGGAAACAAAAGAAAATGCAGAATGAAAACGAAACATTTAATTTCTTATTTTAAATATATACATTTAACAGGGGCACATGTACTGTAATTTAACAGCTAAAGCAATCAAATGCTGACATGTGGTTTTTTTTCACAGAGCGTAAAACTTTTTTTTCTTGTCTTCAGGTCTTGGGATGTTTGAAAGTCCCTTGTTCCTAGCACCTCATGAAGAGGAGTCGGGTGGACGCAGTGTTCCCACCACACCATTACAAGTGACAGCACCAGGTATCCGCCTCTGTCTGTTCTGTCCCTCTACCGACACACCCTTTTCTTCCACGTACTCGACACAGTTTACAGGAAGCCGGAATTCACAGATTTAGGAGTGCTAACAAAATCAGCAACTTTTATCTTGTTTGTGTGCTTCTGTTCCAGTAAATATCTTCTCAGAGGCTCAGTCCGACTCCACTGAGCACGCCTCCCAGTCGGTTCCCATAGTGAGCATGTCCACGCCAGGAGGCGCCGGCTCAGGGGAGGACAGAGACGACGCCCTCCTGGAGCCAGACTCTGATCGGTGAGGCTCACTCCTCTCTGCTGTTTGTCAATCATTTCATTTCTTTTTTTTGACTACTGCTGGAAATCAGACCTCTAGCAGTCAGCAAGATTCCCCCTGCCCTTTTATCAGCAAATCTTCTTTTACTGAAAATCTTTGTGTCTTTTCACAGTTAATATTTATAGCTGAATCAAATGTAAAAGCCACATCTTTAAAAGTTATACCTTTTTCCCATAGGCACATTTTTGAGGGGACCTAGGACCCCTACAGTTTTTGAAAATGGACAGTCTTTGATAGTGCTTGAATCTTTATACATGTTTTGCAAGAATAGGAACTGATATTTTATAACTTGGCTTTTTAACTCAAACAAGTTTCCGTCTCTATCGCCCAACTCAACTGTGTGTTGTGTTTATTGCAGGCCCAGTGGAGATATGTCAGGAGAATCAGTGGTCTCTCAGGGGGATGTGGAGGAGTCAGGTCAGCAGTCCGACAAGGCCAGCCTCCCCTCCACCAGCCAGGAGCCCCCCTCCAGCTCCGCAGGTACACTGAAGTCTGCTGACTGGGCCGATTTAAAAATCACTTTATGGATCCTAATGAGTGTTCAGTTCTGATTGCTATGTTGTTTAATTATTCTAGATGCAAGCAGTGCTCCACCTCGACCCTCCAGACCTGGATCAAGCAGACAGCTGCAGCGCTGGCCCGAGCACCGTGGGGGCCGCATGAAGAGAGGAGGTAACAATGAGAGCACACTCACAGGTTGGGGGGGTGATAGAGCAAATATTGCTTTTGAGCATAAAACTATACCAGGCCTATAGTGGCTTTGGGCTCCATTGCTTTTTTGCAGATGCTACATCAGGGAAGAAAAAATAAATGTCTTCAAAACTCAAATCAATCATCACAAATGTATTTTAGATATTTGCACTTGATTTAATATTGTGAATAACAGCAGCAGAAGAAAATTGTTTAAAACATGTGTACCACAGGATAATCATGACTGATCAAGGGGCTCAAGGCTGTCCATGAACCACAACCACCATTTTTCTGGTCTGGGACCTTCCTTACAATACATACAACATGTCTCGTTTTCATTTTCATCTCTCCAGTCTTAGAAAAAACTAATATTAAAATGGGCAGCGTTAACCCGAGTTTTATATGAATGTCTCGAAACAGAATTACCTTATTTAACGTCAATCAGATATAAAATAACAGATTTCCAGACTGTTACAGATAAACTAAATATAGTATAATTACTTATTAATGTATTAAATTAAAATATGATTGTAATTTGTTGAAAAGTAGTACTGAATCAACCTCACCTTGTCTCCTTATTGACTTATTTAAAATGAACATTATTAGCAGTGAAACATTTTTTGATGACAGCTATACATATAAATTCACACACAAAGCATTTGTTTCATTCATGGCATTTAATTCATGTTTGTGTGTTAAAATGCATGTTAATGAGAATAACAGATGAAACATTACATTTTATACAGCCACTGTACAGAATCTTTACATCAGTATAGCAGGCTTAATTTTAACAAAACGTTTTACCCTTACAGGTCAGGGATTTCCTTCTCGGGGTTTACACGGAAGACGATTTGCGAGATGAAGCACTAATCAAAGGACTTGGCGACGGATGTGACTGCAGTAGATGTCCTTCCCTTTTAGAAACACATTACACATTTTCCGATCTGCGTGCTCAGATTCTTTATTCAGCTTTGATGGTGTTTATTTGTTCTGAAGCCTGTTGTTTTTAGCTTTGCGTTTTTGTTTTTGAATGTACTTTAAAGTACCTTTTTGTAATCAGTCCACGCTGGAGCAGTGTGTTTTTATGAAGAATGTAATAAAACTATAGGAAAACAAAATCTTTCATCAGACTTTCTTTTGGCATTTGAAGAAATCTCTATTCTGAGGTGACTCCTTGGCTGTTGGCGCAGGAACGACGGGAAGTTCCCCACCCATCCTCACGGTGTAGGACGTGGCTGCAAAAGAAACAGAAAGAAACATTAGGCATTTTCATTAATACATCGTGTACAGGTCTACAGGATGGCCTTTTATACCCATCTACATGCCAGTTTCCATTTTAGTGAGCATGAATTTGGCATGAAAATAATCTCATGCATCTTTTAACAGTCTTGAGTTTTAAACAACATTCATTTGAATAGCTTTTGGCCACAGTTGGACATAAATCTTAATAGCTGGAGGTTTTCTTAAATGACAAACGACTAGACGGTAAACCCCTCCTGACTTGATGCATCACGCAGGCTTAAACTGAGTCCGTTTTTCACTCAGACAGGGATTACAGTATGCATCGCCTTTAAATCTTTTACTGTGGTTATAACAAACAAACTTGAGCTGTAGGTGAATAGACACCACCCTCAATGGCCTTCACATCTGCCTAATATCCCACCCCACCCTGACACACACCCAGACACACATGGTCCTCATTAGGCATGTCTGACCTGAATGAGGCTAACAACAAAAAGTCAGACGACAGACTGAAGTTTTGTCCACAATTACTACTTAAAAACTACTTCATCCTATTTTATTTAACAGGCTGTGTTAGGAGCTAATTCAAAATAAGGCAACGAGTCCTGTCTTTACTAATTCGTATAAATGTAGGCTTTGTGTGGAACACTGCCTAAAACTATACTATAGGCTACTTTCTTTCTTACTAGACTGATCCTAGAGCAAATATCCTGAAATAAAACTGAAACATTACCCTTAATCTGTTTAAAGGAGATATATATTAAAGTATTTACATCTGGAGAAGACGTGGTATTTGTATCCCTCCGGTTCTGTGCGGCTGGGGACAGACACAGCAGCTGTGATGGTCGAAGGGAAACCTCTCCATGATGTCCGGATTTTGATGGAAGGCCCTAAAAGAGACACTGAAATCAAGAGTTGAGAGGAAAATTAGATGATTTGTTCAACGGTTGCTGGATATTTATGTATTCGTTTTTCCATTCTTCTGCTTAACAGTTGCAGTCCCATAAACATTCCATAGGCAACTTATTTCCACTTGCAAAGTATTTATAAGGTAGACCTCGCTGCACCTTTCACCTCCACAAAGGCATGACTCACCTTTTCAGAGAATTTAATGTGTTGCAATTCAAATAAAACATGTTTACATGAGCTAAGTACATCTGGGACAATATTCACCCAACACAAAGTCATTTCGCATACAGACTACAAAAATAAGGGAATTTATGGCATTGTTAAGAAGAATTTATGTAACACCATTAGTATAATTCTTAAAATACCTGCTTGTCGGACCACTCTGCTGCGGACTGTGTAAACAGCATTGTTGACCTTCCTGCCACATGTTGGACTGGCACCCAACTGGTAGGAATATTTCTGCACAGTTCCCCCTGAAAGTAACAGTCAAATTTCAAAATATATTAATTCAAGGTTCAAGGCTTTTGACGATGAAAATCTTAGTTCGCAGGCATTACCATTCAATAAGGTCATTACAATGACAGTAACATAAGCATTACATAGACTATACATATATCAAGTAGCTTGTAACAGCAGTTTTTTTTTTTTACCTCTTTTGAAGAAGTAAACGGACTCTCTCCTGCTCTGGTACTGAGGGACAGACAGAGCCGCTGTGATTTGGCCACGGAGCCCATCAAAGCCCACTTGAACAACCTTTGGATAGTGAGGGTCCAACAAACCATTTTCAAATCGCCAGTACCGGGGTCCCTGCAAAAACATTAAACCCCAGGTGAAAAAAAGAGAGCCTAATTAAAATCCTGATAGGCTATAGTCCAAATAGCCTCATCCATGAAATCTTTAAAATGCAGTCACTGATGTCAAGATAAGAAAATGTACCTTAAAAATGTATGTCTTTCCCTGGCAGTTGCAGCGGGTGAACGCAGTGTCGATGGGGGAAGGGACCCCCCACACCTGTGTGATACTCTGAGCCGGACTAGGCACCATGTATCTGTCAACAAGCCAGAAGTAGTGTCCTGGAAAGTAAAATAGCAGATAAGTTTTATCTTCAGTCATTTGTATCTTAATTGTTGTTACTGTCAACGTTATACACAGAGTACATTCTTTATTCATGTTTAGCTGTACTTTTTTTGTTTTCTTTTCTGCATCAAAAAACGTAAAAGTATTACAAGCTTTTATGTAATGTTCAGATGGCAGACCCTCACCTCTGAAAACGACCATGGTGCCGTTCCTCAGTGTAGTGACTGCGCCGATCGGACGTCCGCTGCACAGATTTGTATCATTGCTGTCATCTGAGAAAAAGGACAAAATATGTGAGAAAAAACATCTCTTTGGATAAAAAAGCAATAATACAAAGAAGTGTGCAATAACTGAGTTTACTAGGTGCTAAATATATCATGTTGTGCTCCAGGAGCTCTGGGCACTTGTTTCCATTCTTTCTTTAAAGTATCCGAGCTTGCCAATTTCAAAAGAGTGTTTGATTAATTTGCAGAGTAGGTTAACAACCACCTCCGTCACTTAATATGATGTTGCCCTGCTTTGAAGCATGCTTTATTCACCCAGAGGGATAATGTCAAAAACAACCAAGCTCATAAATACCCAGAATATAAAGGCTGCAGAGCCTATGGAACAACATTTCAATATTTACAACGAAAATTCTCTTCTCAGAGTCACATAAATCATCTTTAAGGCAATTTGTTTTTCTTGGGTGTTTTGTTGAGAATGTGAACCAGAAATAAGAAAGGTTTCTAACCTGCTTGGTACTCTTTAGGATTGTCTATGGTGAGGGTTTGCGTGGGGATCAGAGGCTTAGTCTCAGAATTGTAGCTGGGTTTAGGTGACGTTGGTATAGTTTGTGATGGCTTGTTTGGAGCTGGTTTGTCTTGGGGCTTCGGGGTGGCTTCAAGTGGAGTGTTTTTGGTGGGGTCTGGGGTGACATCAAGCTGATCGGCAGTAGGGTCTGGGGTAGCATTAGGAAGATCGGCATTAGGGTCTGGGGTTACATTAAGTTGATCGGCAGTTGGGTCTGGGGTAGAATTAGGAAGATCGGCATTAGGGTCTGGGGTAGCATTAGGACGATCGGCATTAAGGTCAGGGGTAGCATTTGGAAGATCGGCATTAGGGTCAGGGGTAGCATTAGGAAGATCTGCAGTGGGGTCTGGGGTGACATTAGGCAGATCGTCAGTAGGGTCTGGGGTAACATCAAGCGGATCAGCAGTGGGGTCTGGGGTAACATCAAGCTGATAGACAGTAGGGTCTGGGGTAACATCAAGCGGATCAGCAGTGGTTACTCTAGCTGCATCTTCATTTGTTGTGTCATCCTGCACTGCTTCTGTAAACAAGGGTGTTTGGGTGGTCAGGGTATCAAGCTCTGGCAGGTCCCCAGGCTCTTCTGGAGAAACACTGCTGGAGTCAGGGTCTGCCAGAGAAGACGTGGGGTCTGTTGGGACACTGTCTGTGTTCTCAGCATCATCTGGTCCAGGGTTTGAGGGGGTTGCCTCAGTGATGGGTGTCAGGTCCAGTGCTACTGAAGAGATGGTGGTGCCCTGAGAGTCTTCCAGGACTGTGGTGGAGCTCTGAGGGGGTCCTGTGGATCCTGAAGCCACAGGAGTGTAGGAGGCAGTGGATAGGGTTGTAACTTCTGGGTCCTCTGGGTAGGCTACAGTCGTTTCTCCTAGAATATTGTCATCCTCAGTTTGTACCTCTGCCTGTCCCTCTGCCTGGAGCTCTTGGGTGTCGGCTGTAGGAGAAGGGTCAGATTGGGGCGCTGTGGTTGGAGGAGGCTGACTGGAGACCGCTGCTGCTGTTGTGGTTCCAGCAGTGGATGCATCACTGGCATCTGGAGGAGGACAATCATGATTATGAATTCTTACATTTGAATCAATGGTAGTAAGTTGCATATTAATACATTATTGAATTAATGTTATAAAGACGGGTGGTAAAGTATACTGCTGAAGTTATTATTGTCTATTGTGTGTTTAAGGTAGCAGTTACAACTTGAAAAAATAAGTAGCAAAATAAACATTCACGATTTAACAAATGACTTACTCAAACATGGAGAAAATTGAAGATTCAAACCTGTCTTAAACATCACTGTTTAGTATAGAAACAAACCTATAACAAGTAAAAGACAGCAACTACTAGATGTAAAAAACTGAAGTATTTTTTAATGTACAGTACTTTGGTGGAGGCTTGTTCTTCCTTACTTCATTGTTGCAGAAGCAGTACAATGTTATTATTTTAAATAGGGTTAGAGGAAGAAATCGTTTTGTACAAATAGGCTTTCAAAATTTATATGAATCGAGTAGTGTTGAAGCTTTTCTGACAGCTGGTGGTGTAACAACATTTAATGAGGCTCTTCATTTTGTTTGGTTTTCATTGAATTTTCTGGTCATCTCTTTGTTATTTCAAAGTAATCCCTGGATGTCACATACCCTTGCTCTCAGTGGGGTTAAGGGTGGAGGGGTTGAAATCGGCATCTTTTTCAGTATCTGGGAGAGTGGTCTGTGTTTCAGTGGAGGTGGTAAATGCTTCTGTGCTGAGCGGCAGAGGGTCTGGATCCTGGGTGGGTTCAGTAGATATTTGATCCAACACGTCAGCTGTGGACAACTCATAGCTGCTGGTGCTCTGTGGGACTGGACCTGCCTCCGGGTCCTCAACTCCATTGTTGGAAAACTCATCAGTGGGAAAAATCTGGTTGTACATATCTAGAGGAATGTGGGAGAATGGCACACCTGGATGTCATACTAGTGAAAGTTTACTGGTGGAAAAATAGATAGATTTATTACATCATTGCTCACCATCACCAAGATCATCTTGTGGATTTGATGTTGGACTGACCAGTGGAATAGAATTGTCATCTATGGACAAATGAGGCAACATCAAATATAAATGTTGTTGTTTGCCATTGCTGACACAGTCATTTTATCCTCACTATCTATATTTTCCCTGCATTCGTTTTTTTGAACATCACTGACTGAATGTCTTGAAATTCCAGACGGAAATCTCTCAATGGATGCAAGAGTATCTCCACCCACCAATCTAATCCAACGAACCCCTGAATTAAAACCTGAAGAAAATGTTCTGTGATCCTTTCTTGGATTCATTTTGTGCTTTCCTCTCTTGTGACTGAGCCTGTGCCCGTTACCCTCCTACACACTCTCATGACCACACTGCTTCCTTGTGTTTCTTTTGGCCCCTGCAGCTTGTGGTCTTGGCTTGTTCTTGTGAGACTTGGCCCTCAAAGCAAACCACAGCAACAGAGCCACAGTGTGGCAGTCCAGCGTAAACATCTTCCTGCCGTCTTCCTGACATATGCCTTTTAAATTCCACTGAGTTCAGCTTATAATCATTATCATATTTAAGCAATCTTAAACAAATAGCTTTATGATTATGGGTTATTTATAAAGTTAATTTCCACAAGTCACCTGCATGGTTTTCCTCACTGAATGTAGAAGGATCACTTGCATCATTCAAAGTCGGCTCTGTGAGAAAATGTATAAAGGTTACAAAAAAAAGTGAACCCTGTAATAAACAGTTTTCTCAATCCTTAATGACAAAAAATCGCCGTACTGCCAAGTTGAAAATACCTTTTGGCTTGTTATCATTTATGCTATCACATGAATTAGCCTTCACTGGTGCTGATGTACTGGCTGCTCCACTGATTTTCTCTGTGGTAATTATCCAAAACAGAAAATAATTTCAAATGCATCGGTGCAGATTACTGCATGCATTGCATGCTATTTCACATGCTGGTGGACATGCCATTCAACATTAATCCTGGCTTCTATGCGCTTCATGCACATGTACTAATCTCAAATGAAAATGATTGCATGACAACTGAAAAAAAGGTGAGGGCTACCTCTACACGGAGGAACTATAATAATAATATTGTTACTGAGTGTGAAACTGTAAAAATAAAGTCACGGTTAACAAAAAAATAACACACAATCACACACAAACAAACACACAATCATGCTGACAAGGCTTACCGTCTGCATCACAGTGCAGATTACGATCAGGACAACACTGTTTGAATTTAATACAGTCAGAGTCGCAGTTACACAGACGGCCTCTTTTGAAGCCTTCGCCACACCGTCCTTTACAGGAGTTTTCTGTAGCACACAAACACAACAGACTTGTACAAAGAGACTACATATACTGATTATACTAGAATTTTGGTTTTAGCAAACTTGGGGAATAGGTAATACATTTTCATGAAAACCTTTTCAGTAACAAAAATCTTTATCAAAGACTGTACAATGAAACCAGAGTAGTTTTTGGTATTTATATGGGGCTATCAGAAGGAAAAGCTCTCACTTGTGGTGCATTGGGATTCATAGTCTCTGCAGCACTCTCCATACTCCAGGCAGCCATAATCACACTGGCACATGTTACCCCTGTAGTACTCAGCACCACAGCGACCTTTACAGCTTGCTGTTTATGAGAAAGAGCACATGGAAAAAGAAAAGAATATCAGGCATCTGTGCCTTTAAAGATTTTCATCAACTTCGGTCTAATAATATCTGAGGACATCTGTGTAAATAATAAAGCTGTGCCAGATATTGATTTTTGAATAGGTGACAAATAAAAACAGTTTGTCCCATCTTTAGAAAATAATTAACAACAAAGTAAACATGAACACGTACAACAAAAGAAAACACACAGTTCATTTCAAGAAAGTGCTTCGTAAAAGCACATTTCTTTCAATCAAAAACTTCAAATCAAGTGAATGATACATTTCAGTTAAAGGTTTCACGATGCAAAACAAATGTCACTGTAACTATACTCACTCTGAGCTGCGCCAAATGTCAAAGCACATGCCAGCAGAGTAACAGCACAAAGTACAGTAGAAGACATCCTTCAGTAAATCTGAAACCAAGCATAAGACACATAAAGAATAAATAAATCAGAGTGTATTCACGCTCATGACTGAAAATCCTGAATGAAGGGAGAGGTAACCTACCTTGTGTGAGCCTCTGTCAGAGTCCTGCTGGAGGTTGGACTCGGCTGCTTTTAAAAGGCTGAGAGGGACCGGCTGACTTCCTGTTAATTGGCGGATCCGGTCTAATTAAAAGTGTGATGATCTCACAGGCTGTAGGGAGGATCCTCCACTGCAGACCAGACTATAGGTTCAGACATCATGAATCCACACAAACAGCTGGAAGCACATCAACACACATCTGTGCCAGACAGACCTATGACTCCACACAATTCTGAACAACATGAGGGAAAAAACTGTTTCCAGTCACAAATTGGTAAACTGGACATTTTCACTCACTCACACACTTCAATATCATATTATAAGTCAAGTAATGACGACGATCAGCAGGGTTATTGTCTTTAAAAAAAGAAAAGTAAAAAAAAAACGTTTTGGGGGAGTATTTTCTTGAATAGAAGTATATACCACACTACTTCAAAAACAAGCAAACAGTAAAGGTCTATCATTGAAGAGCATATGAACCACTTCTAAATAAAGTTTTTTTTCTCTATATATAATGTTAATGTTATGGCTTGTGAAATAGAACTAATCTTTTCAGCTTTATATGCTTTGAACAGTTTACATAAAGTGTGTTTTATTTACAAAATCATGATATGTTTTTTTAAATGTTAAATTCTAACTATTAAATAAATATTGTTAAGTTAAAAAAATGCACTTTAGATGTGGCAGAGTAGAAGTTTAAAGTAGCAAAATATGTAAATAAGTAAAGAACTTGTTGTTCTCAAGCCCAATACTTCAAAAAGTACCTTGGTCATTTTTCACTGCTGAAAGGGGCATTGAGTCTAATATAGCACAATTTGGGGCTTTTACTCTATATGTATTTTAAATAAATACAAATATTCCGACATGGTTTATAGTCAATTATTTTACATGAAGCAAAGCATCCCGGTTAATGGTGACTTAATGCAGTTAACCTCTAACAGTTTGACCACAATTACCTTACAGTATGTGTGATTACCTTATTTATCCCTGAACATCTATGTATTGAATATTTCACTTAAATTCCACTAGACTTGTTAGCTGTGTTTTGCTCTAATGTGAACAGATTTACAGTTTTTCTTAGTTGTTCTCTCGTTTGTTTTCATTACAGGGTGACAACCAAAGACTGTTATATATAAAGTGACAACAAACCCACTTACTGTACAAGACTGAACACCATGTTGATGTATTTTTATAATTAAGGGCTTGTACACTGTGGGTATTCTGTGGTTGGAAGTGCTGATGCCTGTGGTATTTTCCTATCATGTCACGGTCCAATTAGAGGAAAAGCACTCATTAGTGCACTAGTGTCAAGACAATAATGATAACACATTCTGGTGTAAAGGACCGTGCCAACCAAACAGGCAAACACAGACACCACGGGTCAACAATTCCACCAATACAGTACCATAGAAATAGGAAGTATCAAGCCCTTGACAAGTTGGATTAAAAACACCGGCCCAGATACAACTCTGCCACTGAGGAGTTGACTGGGTCAAGTTGAAGGTTTAGAAAGTATGATCTGTACGCCCCCTTGTGTTTAAAGTTGTCTTCGTTTTATTTCTGCTCTGCAATGGTTTGACAGCTAACTGCACATGTTCACATTACAAAACGTTTTTGGAAGCTGTCGTCTTTTAGACTATTGTCTCTTTGGTCTCCTGCACCTATTCTGGACTTCAGTGTGTGAAACTGTACTCTAGACAATTTAAAAGTGAATCTGCTGTGAGGGTGACATGGCAGGCTGAAGATGAACTTGGGGTCCATTTTAATGTGGAGTGTATTATCTTTTTTTTAAATTCTTAATATTTATCCAACATATATAAACACCATATGTTCTGCCACTCTCATCATATCTCAGTTTATTTTTCCAAATCTGAGTCTTATTTAAAATGTTTGGGTAATATAATATACTTGCTTATTGATGTATTGATCTGTCCTGTCAGTTGTGTTGCACTAGAATCGTTTTGGGAGCTATATGTGTACAAAATGGACATTTAGCTAATATTCAATTTTTGCATTATACTGTGAGTCTCTAAAAGCTCTATTAAAGTATTACTAACCAGACGATTTCCAGTACAGTGAGGCACTGGAGAAATTCAGTCTAATGAGGCAAGAATAGCAGCACACAGAGTATTCCGCTTTAATATGGATTCTAAACAGGGCATACACTAAGTAATGCATACTAGATATATGGAATGTTATGGATTTCTGGCAATCATGCATGAAATACAAAATGATCATTAAATAATATTAGTTCATAGACTTGAGCTGCAGTATTCCTGTTCACCTCCCTGCAGGCCAGCGGTCACCTGACAGAGAGGGAAGATCAGCAAAGCACTGATTATCACTGAGATGAGGCACAAAGCACTGATTATCACAAATAGAGGTCCAACACACTGGATCTCCTGGGGAGGGGAGAGCCAGCTTCTTTTTCTGGATCCAAAACTGCTTTGTCAGCAGTGGAGGTCGTTTTCAGTGTTGGCTGCTTTAAGCCATCAGGCTGTTTAGAGCTGCATGAGAGGCAGAAACACAGAGAAATACAGGAGTAGAGGTGATGCACAGCATGTGGTTGTAAGCATTGGGGTTCATTCAGTAGATTCATTTTGCTCTTGCCTTCTTCCAAAATGAAAAGAGACTTGGTAACTTCCTGGCTGCGTTTTTGGCAAAGTTATTTAAAAAAGGAAATAACACAACAATCTTACACTTCTATTATCAAAGGACAAGCACAAAGCAACTCTTTTTCAGTTTGACTTCTGTTCAGTTTAATATAAATATGCACTTACGATGCTTGATTAGGGAGGCTAAAGAAGAAGTTAGACACACATCTATGATCCAGCCATTGAAAGCCTTTCATCTGCAAAATAAAGATAAAATAATGAAAATGCTTGTCACAGAAATTCAAGCAGAGTATTGATGTGATGAATAGAACATGATCACAAAGGACCTTTAGAGGGAGACAAATGAGAGCATATCAGCGGCTGTTTGAAGCAACACTCACACAGGACAAGAATAGGAGCACCAACAGGTGACAGGCACTAATGAGACATAATTAAATCCGACAGCTCATTTCATTTTATTTAGAAGATTTTTCCATGGATTAAAAGCTTATTATGCTTTTTATATTTGTTAGCAGATGGAAGCAAGGGAACACTGCCACTAGACCGTTTACAGTAAGATAGAGTTTGTATATAACCACACAGCTTGTATTTTACACTCTTGAATACACTTAATATGGATGAATAATACTGTACAGGATTCAGATGTCTTATGTTGCCTTGTGACTGTGGTAAAGTGTTTCCTTCCTGTGAAGTGATGATAATCTAATCTTACTAAACAGGAAATGTATTCTAACCTTTCTGTCTTTCACATTATGATCTGTTGCACCCTGTCTTGATTTTAATATTGCATCAGTTAGCATCACATCAAGCATCATCACCTCCAGCAGAGGCCTCTCACTGTTCACTTCTTTGATGTGTAAAAACACCTGAAAGGACACGAGAAGCTGAAGCAGCGTGTCATAGCATATGTGCGTGTCTCTGTGTGAACCAGCTACTGAGATAAAAAATGACCACATGTATGCAATGACTAGTGAGCTGCAACCTCAGTCTAAAAATACTTAATCTGTGCATTTTCAGCATCAGCAACTTTATCTGAATCCAGTCCCTTCCCTTGATGCTGGTTTAACCAAATACAACAATTTGTTCATACTTTCACACAAACGTTTGCTATTTTTCTTGAATTATTCAATTATTTTTGCATTAATCAATTAGTCCTTACCCAATTATAATGATACTTTACTTCCACGGCACATGATGATCCACAGATGTTTAAATAACTTTACTGACCCGTTTCCTCATAAGGACCCATAATCAATCTTCAGTTTTTTCATAATTGAAGGCCCCCATATGAAAACACAACAATTAGGATGTTAAAATTGACCTGATTAAATCTGCAGCAGTGTATAAGGGCCATATACAACTTTGAACAGACTCATTTTGGACCCAAAACAGACTCTGTTGAGAGTTTCTGTCCTATATGGGAAACACCAGGATTGTATTTCTCATTCTTATCATCCACAGCAGAGTATCTTTACTTGGCTTTACATTTTGCAGCAAAGAAAATTGCACCATATATGTGACAAGAAGGAGATAACTGTCTTCCTATCAACCCACATGCACCTCACCAGTGTTGCCAGTGTTGACCAGTGCTTGACGACTGGCAGCATCTCACCCATCTTATCTGACTTTGATAAGGAGTTTGACTTGGAGTTAAATGTATACATTTATTCATGGCCATCAAGAAGGATGCTTATGTCCTAGTTAGAAACACTTTTTTGTATTCCCTATCAACCCACAACTCATTACCTGTACCAAGATTATTCTGACTGACAGTGACATAAGATAACTCAAAATTGCAGCTTTGTGGTAAAGTTTTAAGGGCCATGTAGTAAGGAACATTTATTTGTTATCACACTGGTATAGTGGGCCCTGACGCTTTAAGAGTGACTAAAGGACAAGCCTTTCCCAAAGACACAAAACAAATGAACAAAGAGATTGTGTTGTGGTTATAAATTACACCTGTTGTGACTATATGCAAAAGGCCATGTATATACACACCTTTCTGTATTGGTGGTAAAAGAAACAGGGTATATTTAGTGTCCCAAGAGTCCTGAATGTATAGATATGCAGAAATCAATATGATTGATAAGGACTGATTGAGGAGAAACAGCTCTGTTCCTTAAATTCGCCTGAGGCTTGCCTTTTTTTAACCCCTAAAACCACACTTAGTGATTACAAATTCATGAGGTTCAGCCAACCATTGTTTAAACTTCAAGTGGCCATCTTAGAGTTTGTAACCAGATCTGATATACCTTGCTACATGTAGGCCTATGGGAAATGTACAGTGTGTTCCTTTAGTCTACTTTATGCATGCAGAAGGCACACATGTGTATATAATAAAACACATCCTATCACATCTGGAGAGGATACGTTTTAAAAAACACTAAACAGTAGGTACCCACCGCCTGGTGAGCGCTGAATTAAGCCTGTGTATAAATATAAAATGAATATGTGCAAAGGGAGCAAGCTGGCTACTAGAAGATTCTGTTACTGATTACTTGGCAAAATAAACAAATGGTTGTCTTGTGTTGTTCTTTGCACATGGGGACAGTACCTTTGACCTGAGGGCAGTAGTAGCTCAAAGTAGTGATTTAAGGAATGCCTGAATTGCGTGAGATTGGTACACTTAATTTGGTCTTGCTCTGTCAATGGTGATAGGACACTGGGATTTCTTTGAAGTTTGTAATGAATTACGATTAAACAACTGAACAAAACTTTGTTAGTTATGTTTCAGGATAAAAACCACAAAACAGATTAAACGGTCTGCATGTGTATATGTATTGTACATGATTATGTTTGCATTGACTTAATCGTTTTGTATTGGTGTGCATTGAAGTGTATGTGTGGGTATTTGGGAGAAGATCCATTTAATTCAATCATCAAATCATCATCAAATAGCTTCACTACAGGGCTGAAACATGCTTAAACATAGTACAATGCTACTGTCAGCAATGCAATGTTAAAATGGTGTTACATTATTCACTAAATAAATAAACTTGGCTTTATTTGATCTTGTTGCAGACAGGCAGAATACAGAAGCCACGTCCTTCAGGTCCCTTGTACTTTATTTATACGTTTTGTATTTTGTGGGCGTTGCCCTGGAAACAATTGACCAATAGACTGCTAGTATCCACTCTAAGACCCGACTTTTTATGGTTGCTATGCCTACAACAGGTTTCTCCCTGAATGACGGACAGAGAAGCCAATCGGTTACGCGCTGGGCGGGAGTTTGTGCGCACACTGAAAACTGCCTGGTGAATTTCTACTATGATCAGACCGCTCAGGGTGCACGCTTGTGTTGGACCGTGGCTGCCAAAAAGACTGGGGATGGAAAATATACCATAAACGCTGTTGGGAAAGTCTACGGAGGTAAACACGTATTCCTTGTTTTTTATTCACCCCTTTCTGTTACTTGAATATAATTCAGAAATTGTCTCGAAAGACTCAGCTAATGCTAAGCTATTAAAAATATCGAGTGGGTCATGCATGGCTGTGACATTGTTGAATTAAACTGTCTGCAGCAGCGAGAGACACGTTTGTTTGACACATGAATGGAAGGAAATTAAGCTGAAGTTAAAAAGTTATCAGTATCAGACAGTTGAATGTATCAACTTAAAATATAGCCTAATTTAAATGCAGAATTTAAACTTTAGTAGGTATGCTTCACTCTAAACAAATACGTCAAAATGTCTCAATTTTAATATGAGTCCTACTGACATGCATTCATTTGACACTGGCTTCATGTCATAGGATATTTCTGTCATCTGATGCTAGTTCTGAGTCATTTGTGATGTGGATGGTCGAATGTTGGTCTGTCACTGCTATTTCCACTAAATAACACTGGTTAGATTGACCTCCTGCATCCTGAGACATGTTGTCTTTTGTACTGTGTATGTCTACTTGAAATATATCTTTAGCATTCATAAACCACAATGTTCTGCTGCTTATCTGACTGATTTATCTGTGATAAACTGAATAATATCAGATTTAACCATCAGGCTCACTTGTGAAACCAACAGCCTTGGGTAGAGCCTATGAGTAGTAATTATAAATATTACACAAAAACATGTGAATACTGACTATTCAGCAGAAAAACCGATCGCGTTGTGGGTTTGCTGGAGGTCAGAGACACATTATTGGGTTTCTAGATTATGGAGAGAAATAACTTTTGATGCCTGCAACTGAGACACATGTAAACACACTTCCACTCAAGAAGGATAAGATTAAACTGCCTTTCCGATAACAGGTTGTTTAGCTCTCTGGGACCTAACATGATAATTGTTACTGTCTTGAATGGAAATGTAGTATCTAGCTTTGACAACACTGCATTGCTGTATTTATATCAGGCACTATCATTATAGACCCCTTTTTGTTTTGTTATTTTAAAATGATAATCTGTAATGCAAAATCAATAGACTAACTCCTGAAAATGAAACACACAGGAAGGGAGCCAGCCAACACTGTCAAATTGATAAGCCTCTTTATGACTAAACAACAACTTAACTGGTTAATTATATTATTAAAACAAAAGTTAGGTTCATAAACATTGAATTATGAATGTGAATATTCTTTCAACTTCATGGTAAAACCATACATATTGGAGTTTTACTGCACACTACTTGTCTATGACCACAATATCCCCGATTTCCCTTTTTTTCAACATTTCCTTTCACGCTACTGTATTCTATCAAATGTAATAGAGTGTGGTTAAAATAATCGAATAGTCTGTCACTTGTCAGCCAGTAGCATGATTCCACTTTGGTAATTCTACCAATGTTGTTTATCTTTAAAAGCAAAAGTAAGACAGGTTTATTTTGGCGGGTTTAGGGTTTTGAGGTAGACACCGTCTTTTATTGCATCATTTTTAAGGGATGGAACCACCAAAGAAACCCAGCTGGAATTCCCCTTTAACTGCCGCCAAGATGTTTAATTTCCAAACAGCTTTGGCACAAACCACTGTATTTGCATCTTTACTTTGCATCACAGCTGTCTTCTTGTACCACAATGGTCTGTCTGCCGGTGTTGTTTTTCTCTCGCTGCCTCTCAAGCTAATGTCAGGAGTTGAGAGTTGAGTGCTGCTGTGTCTTTCGATATCAGAGACATAAATAACGTTCTCCCTGGTGCCTTGACTTCAACAGGAGATAGACTTTCTCTTTGCTGACTGCTCACAAAGTGAGTCAGGATGAGTGGGCTGGAGATGAAGAGACGGAGTGAAGAAAGGGAATTCACTGTCATTAAATAAGGAAAGTGCACCAATGTCAGGAGAAAACTGGATGAAATTGTCTACAGACAGTCAAGCCAGTAGATATTATCAAGCCAACTACTTACTTACTTTTCTGTGTGCTGCTCATTGTTTACAGTCTGATCATCAACTGTGGTGGATGTCTTGCAGGCAAGGGCACCACAAATCTCAAATCTAACCATGAAGTTACATTTAGAAACCTACTGGGACTATTCCTGTAAGTGTCTTGGGGATACTCAGTTGGAGCTTGCAAGTTATTTTGGCTGAGTGAGAAAGCTCTGGGCAAAATGCTAGCATTGTCAGTCTACCAAAGATAATGATGAAGACTTTATTGTAGCATTTTGCATAATTGTAATGGCTCAACAGTGACCACACACTGTGACATGTTAACTGTATTCAAACAACATACCCCCCTCCCCCCCCCACACACACACACACACGCGCACACACACAATCCCCCTCCCTACACACACACACATGCAACTTTGACAGGTTATTCTCACACATTACTAACAATCATTGTGCTTTTTTCTCAGGCTTCACATAGATATTAGCTATTACCAGTATCATGAACAATTTGATATGGCACAGCCCTGCTATCACATCAACATGAATAAAATGAAACCATGAAAGGACACTTAGGCATCACTCCATTTGAGAATTGTAGTTACACTTTGTAGTTAATGGGATCACAGAAAGTGGGGTGGCTGCACCAAGTTCCCTAACATCAGGTGACATCAGCTTTTGTTGACAGGCTGTTTCCTCACAGCACACAACCAATTACTAAACCACAAACGCCTCTGTAAAGCCTGATGCTCTTTTAAGCCTCAGTGTTACCTCTACAGACATTCATTGTGGCTCACATAAAGAAGGGGTAATGTGATTAGAGAAAAAATAAATGGGTGACTAAGAAGAGCTGCCTGTTTTGCATTTATATTTGAATAAAGGAACAACATTTACACAGTTGCAACCATGTATGAGCCGGACTCTTCACCTCACTTGATCACTGTCTTTCCTCCTCTTTGACCCATAAGTATCTTCTTTCTTTTACACTTTGGGACACTGCCAACCTCTTCTCCTATTGGCTCTCCCACGGCACATTATATGGTGCCAATGACAAATATGAATTATACATGCGTAGCCTCTCATATGTAGGCTAGAGTGCTGCGAGGCCTCTGCTATGCCAAGCAGGGCAGGACCCTGAGGCCGGAAACGATGAAGTTAACCTGCTATGCAATGAAAACACAAACAAAACTCTTAGCTCTGTCAATTCAAAGCTCTCAATTTACAGTGTAATACATGTTGAGTGCAGTTATGATTACAGGTCTAAAAGTACATTTGACTACCAGTAACAGTAAATCCTGTAAAACCATGACCTGTGCCTGAGGTCTCCTCATGGCAGCTGGGAGGATCCTGGAGCAGAATAGTCCTGGATCTATTTCTGGGTTACTGTTTATTGTATAATCTGCTGTGCTCAAAGGCTAAAAGTGATAAGGAGATGTGAAAGAAAAGTATTCAGTTGATTTGCTTAAAGCAGCATGAAGGGTGAATTCAATTCAAGAAAGGAATTGGCCAGACCCACGAGGAGGAAAACACTCTGATACAATGATTGGTTTAAACTGTGTGTTCATTTTCAGTTTGGGCCAAATAATGATGTGACTTACCTATTGGGCAATACACGTTTTTTAAATTCGTAATTTCTTCTTCTAAAGTGCTGTCTTGTTCTTATTCATAATTCATAGAACTGTTATCAGATTTCCAAAGCTGAAACGATTAGTCTGTTAATCAAAGGACTAATTATTAAGTCATTTATCAAGTAAAAGTATCAGACATTGGCCGGCGTACATCTTCTCAAATGTAAGTACTGGCTGCTTTTCTCTGGCAGTAACGGTATTCATGTTATAAATGACTATGAATCCAGCAGCAAATGTTCTGAACTGCAGACGTCATGCTCAAATGAGCAGAGCCTTGGGGCCCTGCCGCTGCATAGAGCGTGTTCGCCTGTTTATTAATCGTATCAATATTCAATGTGTCTCCTGCCCAAATTGCACCAAATCCGTCGCTGAACGCCCAGCAATATACGTGCAAGTGTGAAGTATATTAAACCCTTCTCAAGTAATGCAAAGGACACACACACAAACCCCCACCCGCCCATGGATTTCATTCATGTTCACACTATAATGTGGCAAATTTTTCAGTTGCATTTTTTTGAATGTAGGGATTTGCTGTTTCTTAAAAGTTTTAGATTTGAGTAGTTATTTAGTTAAGCTTTTATGGGTTACTAGAATAGAATACTAACAGCTGTCAATTTCTCTATAGCCTCTCCTCAGATAACATAAACTAGTGTTAGACTGAGCTGTATTATTTCACAGCTGTATGCTGCCAACATGCTCCTCTCTAGCTGTGTACAGATGTTGACGAGCATTGTGTTTGCTGGTCATGCCAGTGCTTGGTGATGCCCGCCTGGCACGAGGTCATAGACTGGACTGGACCAGGGCTGCATGCTGCATGCTGCAGTGACAAAAGCACATTGAGGCCAGGACAATGGGGAGCTGGCAGTCTGGGTTGTTGTACCACTGTGCTTCTCTCTGTTTCTCTCTGCCTCCTGTCTATTGTGTTTGCTGTCTGACTGTTTCTCTGGTCCGGTCTCAGTCACTGAGGGCTCCCGCACACGCTCAGTCGGCAGCCTGTTTACAGCTTTGAGAGAATAAATCTGCGCAGTGCTGCTGAAGCTGCTCTAGTCATTAAACACAGGCTGTCATTAAGTTGGTGGTGATGTTGGTTCCAGTGTGTCATCGTTAAACTGCAGGCTTCGGTTTGACTGTTTTGGTGCTGTTGTTGACACATTAGGCTTTGTGGGCTGTGCCGACAATACGATGGCAGCAATTCTCTTTCTCATATTAGACATGCAATGACTCACCTTACACGATACTGCATATCGTGTAAGATCGTGGTCTGTCCAGACTTATGGATTCAATATAGATACATATATTTATGAATATTTTTGACTGACAGTAAACAAAAAGAAAGTTGAATATGCCAACGTGTGATATTATAGTTTTTTGACATAATAATAATAATAATAATAATAATAATGATCTGCAAATCAAAAGATGATAGAAAATAA